TTTCAAAATGCATTATGTGTCCTGTTTTCCGTTCCCTTTCACTTCTAAGCACTCTTAGACATACATTGAGCATTGTAATTGAATTAAAGAGATAAGAATGAAGCCTAAAGAGGAATATGTGAATTAAAGAACGGATTGAATTATTTATAACCCATATGTGTTATGTGATATGTAGGGTCAAGCTCCAGGGCAAATCCACAAGCCGATCACTGTGAGTAATATCTGAAATATGTTGTTGTCCAATTGCTTACTTCTATGTAAACTTTGTAAAGTTCATTAATTTGAATGGTGGACAAAGTTTGAAAGGCCTAAAGGCCAGTTTAATACAAAAGTTTGAAAGGCCTAAAGGCCAGTTTGATACGAAAGTTTGAAAGGCCTAAAGGCCAGTTTGATATGAAAGTTTGCAAGGCCTAAATGCCAGTTTGATATGAAAGTTTGAAAGGCCAAAAGGCCAATTGGATACGAAAGTTTGAAAGGCCTAAAGGCCAGTTTGATATGAAAGTTTGAAAGGCCTAGAGGCCAGTTCGATATGAAAGTTTGAAAGGCCTAAAGACCAATTTGATATGAAAGTTTGAAAAGGCCAAAGGCCAGTTTGACATGAATGAATTGGGCCCAAGGCCGTCTGATGTATAATGTTCCAATGTATTTTCTTTATTTGATATTATTCACTGGGCTTTCGCTCACGCTCATTCATGTGTTTGTAGGTGAGCCAAGAGAGGTCCAGACCTAGCCCCAGTGAAGTCTGTATGGAATAGTCGGGTTTTGGAGAGTCAGTCCGTGTGTCTCACGCACGAGACGCGCCTTTGCCTTTTTGGTCATTTTGTTCTATGTTGTCATGTTGGCGAAGTCTTTGTATATGTCTGTATATAGTTTTCATGGGTTGACTTAGTTTGGATGATCCTGTCTGTACAGAATTTTATGATACTGTATTTCTGTTGTGAGTTATTAATGTATATATGTATGGTTTGTTTTGGTGTGCCATGTAAGCACAGCTCTATGGACAAAGTTTTAAAATTGCTTCCGTTTGGCCCCCATTAACTCTATTAAAATACGTTTGGTTTGGTTTGAGGCCGTAAGTAATCCCATGATTACTGGCCGGTTATGTCCTTAGCCCATGGGGGTGGGTTCGGGTCATGACAGAGTGGTATCAGAGCCAGGTTAATAACTCACACACTTTTCCAAAAGAGTAATAAACGTCTAGAAAAGATCTAGGATGCATTCATATGATAAGTATGAATCTGAAAGCATCAAGAATACGCTTAACTGTTAAATGTGAACAACTATGTGTTATAAATTTGTGATTTACTTGCATTACAAATTATTTGAATATGTATGTTTTTCGTTATATGCATACTTGTGAACCTTTGTATAGAGTATAATGCAAGTTTAATCAGATGGTGAGAACAAGAGGTGATGAAATCAAGGAATCTTCTACTGCCAAAATGGACAGAATGGAAAGTCTGATTCAGGAAATGGTGGAGACATTGAGGCAACAGCAAGAGTGGCAACAACAGTGGCAGTAGCCATATTCTCCACCTCCACCTCCGGCACCTCTTGTTCCAGATAATCAGAATGATGACCAAATCATAGCTCTCACCAAAGAGTTCAAGAAAATGAAACCACCACAGTTCCATGGTGGGTTAGATCCTTTGAAAGCTGAAGCTTGGGTCCTCGGCATCGAAAACTGTTTGAAGTGTTCCCGTGTTCGGAGACACAGAAAGTGCTTCTAGCCACCTTTATGCTAGAAGACGAAGCAAGAAGATGGTGGATGTTAATGCGTGAGAGTTACAAAGATGCTGATTAGGCAAAATTTCTGGAAATTTTCTACGACAAGTACTTCCCGCAGTGTGTCTGGGACAGGAAAGTGGCAGAATTTATGGAACTGAGGCAAGACAGTATGACTGTAGCCGAGTATGAGGCCAAATTCACTGAATTGGCCAGGTTTGCGCTACACGTGATTGATACAGACTATAAGAAGGCGAGACATTTTGAAGGTGGGCTTCGAAGTGGCATATTAGAAAGGGTGAATGTCTTAAAGCTAGAAACCTACATCGGGGTGCTAGACAGGGCCATAATATCAGAAGCTAACATAGCCAGATAGGCTAAGCCAACAACAGAATGGAAAAGCAACAAAAGGCAAGGCTTCTTTTCGAAGAAGAAATTTTCGAAAAAGCAGAATACAGGCTCCTCAAATACTTCGAATTCTTTCCAAGACACATCTCCCATGTGCAATATTTGTAGCAAAAGGCACCGTGGAGTTTGTTACCGTGTGTCAGGAGCCTGTTTCAAATGTGGGAAACAAGGGCATATGGCCCGAGATTGTAATTAGAATGGTGGAAAGATAGCTGCTAGTTCCACTGCATCGATCCCGAAGCCGGGAAATACTTTGAGATCTTTAGTAATATGCAAATTATGATCATATTTATTATTAACATTACTTTTTATATTTCCAAAGCATATTATATCATCAGAATTAATTGTCATTTTAGATTGTTGTAGTACCTAAGACCCTCTTAGTGTATTATCTGGTGCCTAAAACCTCTCTTTATGATCTTAAAGACTTAATTATGGCCAATAGTCAAAAGATCTTAATGAGTATATGGGTTTTGACATACACTAAGCATATAGGTTTTACAACAACTATAAATGAAACAACTAATTATGAAGATATAAAATACAAAGGATACACAAAAAACTTACATGGAATTTTTAAATAATTTTTTTTTTTTATAACATAAAACACACCATACACACTTATATATATCCAAGTTTATACATAAATAGAAATACTTACATAGCTTGATCTTGCTTTTAAAAACTCTTCACCAAGCTCTGATACCAATTACAAAAATAGTTGGTCAAAGGAAAAATTCCTTGATTATATTGCAGCAACTCTCCAGGGAACATTTAATTTTGCAGGTTATAAACCCTATAGCCTCAGTGTTCTCATAGATACAGGAGCTACAGTCAGCTCATGTAAATGGAATGCCATACCAAAAGAAAAATGGACATTAATGAAACATCCAATTTTAGTTACTGGAATTGATGGCAACCATACTTCCATACAATTCAAGGCTAAAAATATAGTTATTTGGTTAAATGATAGCAAGTTGATTATACCAAAAATCTTATGTTTTCCGTATATGCATGGAGATTTCCTTCTTGGCAATAATTTTATATATAAATACCTTCCAATGCAAATACAGGAAAAAGCTATTTCATTAAGCATAAATAATGTCTTAATTCATATTCCCTTGTTAGAACAACATAAATATATTTGTGATAAAGAGTTTGCGCCCATGCCGCGTGGTGATTTAACTCCCATCATCAAAACCATTGATGAATCACACTGGATTTATAAAATTTTAGAAGAAAATTTTAGTGAACATCCATTAAAACTATGGCAATGTAACCCACGTTATTATAGTTTAAAATTGAAAGACCCTAATGTTATCATTAGAGTAAGACCAATGATCTATACTAGACAAGATATAAATGAATTTGATATTCAACTCCGGAAACTTTTAGACAAAAAGTTAATTGAAGAAACTAAAAGCCCTCACTCTATCCCAGCTTTTATGGTAAGAAACCATGCTAAAATTAAAAGAGGAAAAGCCCGAATGGTAGTCAACTATAAACGATTAAATGAAAATTTAGAATTTGATGGATATTTTATTCCATGAAAAGATGTTTTGATTAACTTAACCAAATGATCAAAAATCTTTAGCAAATTTGATTGTAAAAGTGGATTTGGCAAATTCAATTGACTGAAGAGTCAAAAAAATTGACAACGTTCAGTACACCTATAGGACACTATCGCTGGAATGTTATGCCTTTTGGATTAAATATTGCCACAGGTATTAGAAATTTTTGTAAAACTTGTTCGTAAAAGTCTTGCCAATTAGGTATGCATTAAGTTGTATTTTTGTTTGTATTCACCATCTTGTATTCTATATATTGGCATTCATGCCAACATAATGAAGCATGTAAATTCTCTCCATCTTTGTGCTTCCTCCGTTGTCTCTAATTTCTCTATTATAATTCCCTATTCCATAAATCCACCATAATTCCATAATAAAAATAGTAAAAAAACTCATTTCCTTTTTTGTTTTGTAATTGGTATCAGAGCTTGGTGAAGAACTTTTAAAAGCAAGATCAAGCTATGTAAGTATTTTTATCTATGTATAAACTTGGATATATAGAAGTGTGTATGGTGTGTTTTATGTTATTAAAAATATATATATATTTAAAAATTCCGTCTAAGTTTTTTGTGTATCCTTTGTATTTTATATCTTCATAATTAGTTGTTTCATTTATAGTTGTTGTAAAACCTATATGTTTAGTGTATGTCAAAGCCCATATACTCATTAAGATCTTTTAACTATTGGCCATAATTAAGTCTTTAAGATCAGTTAGACGATAACTTGATTACTTTGCTTGTGAAAATTCATCAAACCATCCAAAAAACCAAAAGTACAATATTTATATAACAATGATATTAGTGATAATAGTAAGAGGTTGTTTGGAATGACCTAAATAAGTATACTTTTTGTCTTTTTACGAAAAGATATGCAGAAAAGTAGAGAGGTGATGTGATGAAAAAAAGATAAAAAGATGAATTATTTTTGAATTGCCAAACTTGGCCTAAATTTTGATAAGGTGAATTAGAATTTTAAAATAAAAAAAATAAAAGGAAAATAATTGAAACTTAGAGAAGAAGATGAAAAGAGTTAAATATGAAGAATATGATTTGGGCGTACCATAAAAAGAAAAAAAAATATTTTAATGTTCACTGTGTATTGTCTTTATTAATAAATTTATATTAGCTTATAATAAAAATTAAAATTTTAATAAGTTATTATTTGGGTAATAAATTATTATTTGGGTGCAAATAAAATGACCCCCATTTTGACCCAACAGTCAACTCGGTCCAATTATAGTTTGGACGTTTTCGTGGGTAGCACCCCAGTTTTAGATGGGCTTTTCTTTTAGGCCCAAAGTTTAGCTCGATCCAATTATAGTTCTTTTTCAAAATATTTATTAAAATCAAAATACAACGAAATAGTTACAAATACATGAATAACCTCTTACATCACCCATTTAGGGCACTCTCGCACTTTCTGTTTTAAATTTTGAAAGCTATGATAAATCATAACTAAAACTAACATATCAAGTCAAATTATTGCTCCCCTTTGTCATGAACCTTTTTCCTCTAAAACTATTGGCAGCTCCAAGTTCTCGTTGCCCCTGTGAATCTTCAAGAGGACTTTATCCCCAACATTGTAGTCGTCCAATGCTTTGTACAACTCAGCTTTACTTCTAACCTGCTTAACCAAGGAACAATAATGAGTGATTGATTGCTGAATAAATTTAAGAGAGTAAATGCATGACAACCTTGTAATGGGGCTAAAATTTAGACAAAGCAAAATGATTCCATCTTGATGGCTAAAGCATCTAAAGCAGAAAGTCCTCAACTATTGGCCCATTTCTTAACTACTTGGGCTTTTAGTACGATGATATTGTGCACTATTTGTGTGTGCTTCTACACCCTGTTTAGTTTAGTCAATTTGCCTCTCCATGTGCAAGACAAGGATGCGCATGATATTAATGATGGACCAAGACTTCAAAAGTAAAATCCTAAACACCAAATGAAATATAACAGTTACAAATTATATGGAAAGCAAAAAGACACCCAATTCAGGTACTACATAAAACACATTGGAAGACTAAATATCTAATGAATGCCAACAGTCCTCTAGTCAATATTTTCAAATTACAGAAGCTTTTCTCATAATCTAAAATATGCAACGAAATGCCTATATTTCCACCTATAACAGTCACCAAATTGCCACACACATACAGAGCAATTCCCTGAAGAAGCTAGCTTTACTAGATGGCAAGAATATAAATTTAAGCAGACACAAGAGGACAGCATAGAATATCATAGATAGTCACCAGAGAGAGAGAGAGAGAGAGAGAGAGTATGATAGATGCAAAGCTCAGAGAATTTTGGTCCAGACCTTTCAACAGATGCACCAAGTATATTAAAGGATTGTTCAGTCCATCAATATGCAAACACTAAAGCTAGAAACTTAATAATATGTGGAAACACCACAAAAATTGTAAAAGAAGAGTTGGAGCAAGAGACAACTCACGGGTTTGTTGTCCACCGCGACAATTATATCCCCAAGCACAATATTACCAGCAAAGCCCCTTGTAGTGGGAAGTATCCCAGCTTTGGCTGCAAGACTATTTCCAGGAACCTACAACACCACAAAGTAAATTTAGGCAAATATAGCTGATGCCATGGCAAAAAAGAGATTCTCAAATTTCAATTTCGCAACATTGTAGATATGTAAAGCCCAGATGCAGAGATATTGACAATTATGGAGGTGCATACCTGCAGAACCAGAGCTCCATTTCTAACATTAAGTTGATTTGCAATCAGGTCTGGAGCAAAATCCACATTTAAACCAGCTCGCACAACCTAACAGGGATGGAACACACTGTAAAATTATTTTCTTTTTGATTGATGGAACAATTAAGAAGCATGATGTGTCTTGAGCAAATTTCTATAAAATAATTTTCAAAATAATCATTGTTGAAATGTTGATAGTGGTTCCTAAAGCCAAAAGATTTTACAGAGAAAAGACAGACCAGAATGCACAGATTAGACACTTAATAACTAGTAGGAATCTGAACTGCATAATTGAATAGCAACAGAACATACCTTTCCAAATTTAATCAACTGAGGTACTATCTTTATCACGGTTGAGGATGGGATGGCAAATCCTACACCAGCAGACGTCCCTGCCACACCAGAAAACATAAATGCATATGAGGAGGTTTTTTTTTTTTAGAGTCCCCAGAGGTAAATGGAGACTTTATAGGCATCAACAAGCACTTTTCAGGTCACCTCTCGGATGAGTACGTAGGTCTAAGGAACTTCCATTATTTCGTTTAGATTCTAAAACGCGTATAATGCAATAAAGATGGAGAAGACATTACCTGTTTGAGTAAATATTGCTGTGTTAATTCCAATTAAATTTCCTTTGGAATCCAATAGAGGACCTCCACTGCCATGAGAACAAGAAAAAAATACAGTTGGCAATGCACAAGTAACATCATAACCATTTGTTCTGATAAGGTGAAAAGTCCCGATATAAGAGCATGGAAAAAAATTGGAATCAGATAATTTTGATGTCAGGAGGGGAAGTAAAACCTGTTCATTATGATTTCTGCATAGAAAGAATGGACCTAAATAATACCTATTTCCAGGATTGATGGCTGCATCTGTCTGAATTCCACCACCAATTGTGACTCCCGTTTGACTAAATATGTCTCGATTTAGTCCACTGATAACCCCAACAGTGAGAGTGTGATCAAAACCAAATGGATTTCCAATGGCTAAGCACTGTTGGCCAACTCTTAAAGAAGATGACTGCCCCACCTTGACAGGCCTCAGCAGTTCTTCAGTGGCTTCCACCTATTGTGTTATTTATAATTAAAAGAGTAGAAGATCTCAATATTTAAAAACTATACAGCCTTAAAGGATCAGCAAAACACAAAATCCTTTAAGAAATTTTAAAGATCACCTCAACATCTACATGATAAACACAATTCTATGGATTGATCATTTAATCAAGCTTAAAAAAATAGAGGATGCGCAAATCTCTTGACAGGCATGAACAATTGACTCACAAATACGTGCACTTTTAAAGATGAAGGCAGTAAAGTTGAATCACCCAGCATTCATGACAAAGATGAAAGAAGGAACTAAGACAAAAATACAAATGCATCTCCAGCTGAACGGTTTGGCAAGACTATAGCACCTACGCAAACACCCTACTTACTTAGCAAACAAGATTTCAAGAATGTCACTTAACAATTCCCCTCCAGCAGCTAAAGTGACAGTGATGGTAACATCCACTTGCTCTGTTCTGGAGGCATCAAATGAGAGGCTTGAAAAAGCATGTTAATTTGGGTATTTTGGACCCTCTGGGATGAGTATTTGAATCATTTGAATCATAGAACTTTTATTATTGGCCCCTTTAATGAAGATTGAAGACTTCTCGTGTTTTTGAGTTTTGTCTCCTAACTTTTGTTTTTGAATGGCCACCTTTTGACACAACTATAGATTTATAATCTCTTTTTGAAATAGGGTATATATAGACTTTGATTTTAGCACAAAATACAAATGTTAGAATTGGAACTTGTGAAATTGTGAATCTTGTGATGGGTGTATAATATCATATCTGAACACATGGTGTTAAATTTATCTCATTTTGGTGATTTGAAATTTTGAATTTTTTAACTTCTCATATGGTGAATCTGGGATTCTTGTTTTCTTTAATTCATAAAAGTATACGAATATATCAATTGTCATAAATCATAGCATAATCAGTACGATAAGTTCATAGATCACATCAGGGATTTGACCAACATCTCTTGCCATCTTACCTATTACAACATGCGCTTATCATTCAAAACAAGGTGTTTATTGATTTATATATAAACTTTGCATATTTATAAGATATCATTAATATTTAATTGTTTAGATTTTTTTATGTATTTTATAAATAATAACTGAATCTTTACAATTCATGATTTGGAAAGAAGAAAAAAAAACGAAGGTAATTTCTATTCTCAAAAAAAAAACAAAAAAGTATTGAATTGTACAAGAAGCAAAGGGTAAAAAAGGTGAATAATGCACCTTGGTTGAGATAATAAAGGGTAAAAAAATATTGAATTAAACAAGAAGCAACAAAACCTGGAGGTATCATTAGCAGAGTTCCATCATGGAACTTCCATGCATATATAAATGTTCAAAGAAAATTTACCTTCAAGACAGCAAGATCTTTAGCACGGTCTGCACCAATCAATTTGCCCTCAAAATTCTTCTGTACCCTTTTCAAAAACTATACATAATAAGGAACTGACGTGAAACAATAATGTGAGTAAGAATTCTATTTACTTAACTGAAGATTGCCCATCCAATTATGCAGTTCAACCTATCAATAGAGGCTAAAGGCACTGTGATTCTCACCCTTCTGAAGCAAGAATATTGACTCGTGCAACGACTTGCCCACTGCTCGGATTTCTTGAGAGAGAATTGCCAATTACTGGGCAATATCAACACAAATTTGATTTGTTCAGAATCTCAATAGCCCATTATGCAATTTAAAATGATTAATTAGCACTATCTACAGAATTAATGAAGACATATCACCAAGAACCCAACCATTTGAAAATCAACATAATAGTTCCAAATATTTGAGAATCAACTTTACTTTCAAATGTGTACAAAGAAACAACTCGGAAGTAATCAGCATTAGAACATATTTAAACATGTAAAGATGTAAGACAGGACTTGATGAGATCCAAATAGGGTCAGCCAAAAAACCAGAGACACAAGGTAGAATTCCTTGCAATAAACAAGTAGACAAAAAAAATACAGTAACACACAAAATGCTATGTTTTAATTCAGCACAATTTGCAGGTTCTCCGTCATAATGAATCACCTCTCTTTCTAATTGAGCATAACCAAAGTAAAACTATGTGCTTGTCAATAACATCATTTATCTTTCATCCATGTAAAAGCCCTTTGAATTTTTCAACTGACTTACCGTGATAATTTGTCACAATGTGACCTTGTCCATCCCAGACTACTCCAGAACCATTTCCTTCGGGGACCTGCCATTATGCATACAATGACATGTTATACTGCAGCCATGTCAAAAGATTATAAGCATGAGAAGATGGTAATATCGACAAAGAATGCCATACATGAGATGTCTAATAACGTTTATGAAATTGTGAGAAAAATACTTTTATCAGTTTGTTTTTAGCACCATAAAAGTATTCAAACATATTTCTTATATTCACTGAACAAAATTACCTCAACCACACCCGTCACATTAAGTTGAGGACGCAATGTTACATCAAAGATGTTGACAACGGAGTAAGTGTTCTTCTCAAAGAGTTGCACAGTCCTTTCCTGCCAAGTAGACACAAATCAACTGACTCATCATAAAAATCCAGTTGAGAGGAGTGTGAAACTGACAAATGAGCCATCCAGAATGAAAAATAGAAACAACTGGCTGGTGCAGTTGAAGGTGAACCTCGGAAGGGAAGAGTGCCCCAGAAGAATAAACGGAGGGTGTAACTTCTTCAACTGTCACAGATGGATCCCCTAAAGCATGGGCTGTATATATGTAAAATGAAGCAAACTGTAGATAAGCACTAAAAGATCCCCAAAAATATGAAGCTAGAGTGAACAAAGACCAACTTTGACAAGTATTTACAAGTATGTTTAATAAAGATGAAATTTGAGTTACAAATGTAAAAGTTGGACCCATACTTTAAAACATAGGCCAAGGAATGAGTAACAAGCCATTCAAATGAAACGCTACTACATCGTAAAACGTCAATGAGATGCAGCAAATTCATAGCCAGCAAAGCAAAAGGTGTATAAAAGACATGATCGACAAATAAATCTTATTACACAATTTAAACCTAAAAGGAATTGGTCAAAAGGAAACAAAGCTGAATTGTGCGAACCTGGTAAGTACCTTGAAGGATGATAACACAAGTACATGAATAAACTTGAGAAAAATGTCCGACGTGTTGTGAAAAGAAAATTTTTCTTTATAACTTCAATCAACTCTTTGCTATGATCATAAGCAATCCTATAAGCATTAGAAGGATTAATGAGGAAATTCTGAAACAATAAAGAAAATGAACTTAAATAGTATGATTCTTTTTCTTTTTTCTGCTTTTTGACAAAATAAGGGCCCAATGACTGCATTTGCTTACAGTATTTGGAAACCAAAAAATAAATGATAGATAAGGATATCACATATACAAGTTTACAGTAAATCAAGTGAACAATTTGAAAACAAAATCACAGCACAGCACACCAAATTCACCCACAAACATAAGCTAATTACCACCACTCCATGAGGACCATGACAACCTTCAGATGCATTGCTGACAATGCACACCTCCACAATCAGCAAAAGAAAACGCTATACAAACTAAAAAATCTTACAAATTTTTTCTTACTAATTGATGTGTCACATAAATAAAGAAACTATGAAAACTAAAATAGGATCCAGTATAATGATATGATAGGTGTCCCACCAAGTCAAAAAAGTTTATACAATTTGTTAGTTTATATAGCATTACTCATCAGCAAATGCCAGTGCCCATAACTGTAATGCCAAGCCACTTGTAAAAGCATCCCCAATCATTCATCAAATTTTCATCAAATTCAAATTTGGTGAGAAAATAGCTAAAAGTGTGCTCCAAACATTTCATCAAATCTGTATCAAATCAAAGGAGAGACGGTTGTTTCACCAAATCAAGGATGCACCAATTTCCAAACGTCATATTTTTACTCAATATTTGGTAGAAGGGTAAATTAAACAGACCTCCCCTGAGATTTCTCATAATAACATAAACCTCCCTTCAAGTTATTAAATGACACTAACCTCCCCTATTAGACTTATAGACCTAACAATGTTATTGAGCAATATAATTTTACGTTTTTGACCCTCATAATAAAGGCACCTCAAAATAAAATAAAAACAATAGTATTCTCACTTCCTTTCACTATTTTTTTTTCATTTTTTAATCAAGAGACCCATCTCTCCCTCTCTCCCCCCTTGACATTCTGCAACTTCACTATCCAAACTCCACCACCACCACACCAAGCCTCCTTGGCTACAAAAATCACAAAATTAGTTAAATCCGCATCACTTCTCTTTTCCCTCTCCATTAATATCACCATCCACAAACTCCATTCAGAGTCTAATCATGCATCCATTGACAAATTATTTAGGGCAAATTACATATACCCCCTCGAGGTTTGGCTAAATTACAAATACCCCCTGAGGTTTGAGAAATTACAAATTCCCCCCTGAATGCTATATTTGCATAACAAATTAGGAGGTAATTTGTTATGAAATTTAAACCTCAGGGGGCAAATTGTTATGAAAATACAAACCTTATGGGGCGAGATGTAATTTCCGAAACCTCAGAGGGGTATCTGTAATTTAGCCAAACCTCAAGGGAGGTATATGTAATTTGCCCAATTTTTTAACTATAAAAGAGAAGAAATTGCCAACACAATTTCTTTCTTAAATTTAATTGGGTTTTGTAGTGCAACACAAAATAGGGGGGAAAAAAAATAAAATCAGTTTGGTTGTTGCTCTCTCTCTCCCTCCACTCTCCCCTCTATAACATGTACATAGCCTTCCCCAACCCCTCTTATTTACCATGTAAATGTATTGCTGCTAAGTGGTTCATCAAACAGTTGAACAGCAAACAAAAATACACATGAATCACGCACAACAGTCACTGATGCCTTGACTTATCTATGAATTTTTCCAGCAAATTTTTGTTCTTAAATAAGATATCTATTTTTGTTTAAAATCTTGTTACTTGCCTTGAACACCATGGTTATCTACTGGCAATCAGTTCAAACTGCAAAATCTGCCAAGTTGCCAACTAACAACTAATGTTTGTATATATTTTTTTGTTCATATAAATCCTGAATTATAGAATTTATTTACTTCAGCATCTCTGTTTTTATTTTTTTATCTTACTTGAACTAATGAACCATTGTCACCTTCAACACTAGAAAACTGATATCTGCTATTTGGTATTGTCTACATATATAGTATTGTATATGGCACTTGGGTCTTGATTGATACGTGGCGCTCTCTAGTATTAAAATTTTAACTGATGAATTCAGCATTTTTTTTGTTGACATAAGTGACAGTTGTTATGGAGAAGGGGGAAACTGCCACAATTCAGGAAAGCAAATGGGAGGTTAGTGTTATTTCAAAAACCAAAGGGGAGGCTTTTGCAATTGTCAATAACCTCAGGGAGATCAATGTAATTTACCCTTGATGAAATTTTAAAAAGAGTAAGGATTGAAGATGATTTTCTATCGCCAAAAATGGTTAAAACAGATTTTTAGGATAAATTTAGAATTTTTTACAAATATTTGATGGAAAAAAAAATATTAAAGATTGGAGATGCTCTCACAGCGACCAGACCATAACTGCCACACCAATTTCAATTTCACCTACAACAGGACCACTCACCACTGTCATTGCCAACAAAAAATTCTAAGCATGTGTTTGGTGGGGGGATTTGAGGAGTGATTTGAAAAAAGAAAGGGTCAAAGTGTGTGAAATTAGCTAAAATATAAGTATATTTTATTTACATTTCTCCTACCTTTCTTTTTCCCTTTCCAAATCCCCCAACCAAACACCCAGCGTGGGTTTGATATCCAGGCTCAAATCCATGACAGAAACATCTTGAACCCACGGCACGTCCTCGACACCACACCTCTTCAATTACTAACAGCAAAAACCATAACCGCAACCTTCAATTCAACTACCCACCTCCATTCTCATTATCACCCTCACAAATTACACAAAATTTTCCACAATCAGCAAAAATTTCTGAACTAATAACCAATAAACACTTATAATTCGCTACACACAAACACATGGACAATGAATTTAGGAGATTTGTAGTCGCAGAACATAACAAGGACGAATCATTGAGTTCAAGTAATGGAATTTACCTTGGAGTGGAAGCGGAATGAGGAGAAAGGTCGAAGTTGTCGTCTGGGGAATCGGGATGACGAGGTTCGGAGGAAGAACAGACGGAGGAGATGCCATCGAAACATAGCTCGCGACGACCACACAAGTGTGTTGTTTTTGGTGGGACCTGAGTTCGTTGAGGAGGTTGGAGAAGAGGGTTACTGGAATTGCAAGCTATGATTTGCATTTCTTCTCCGAAACCGAAAATGCACAAGGGTCCTACAGAGTAGATAGGGTTACACTCACTCTCTCTCTCTCTCTCTCTCTCTCTCTCTCTGCCTTCCTGGCTGATGCTCCTCTTTCGCGAAATCTTTCTTCTAGTTTTGGTTTCTCCAACAACTTTTTATTTTATTTTTAATATAAATTACGCTTACCTCCCTTAGTTCAGATTAAAATAATAATTTCATCTTTTTAATATAATTATAATAATAAATTAAAGTGATACTTATTAATAATTATATTATTATGATATAATTAACCTTTAATATTTTCAATTCATACTAAAATATCTAAACTTCAAGGTATTGTTTGGTAAAGTCTATAATTTCTTAATTTTTGTTAAGAAAAATATATTTATGTTTATTTTTTTATAAATATAAAAGTACATATGTTTAAAAAATTTGTTTTAAAAACTAATAAAATGAGTGGCAAGCAATCAAAGGTGGGTTGATGATAGCCAAAAGCAATTGATGGTGACTATAAATAATAGTTAAAGCTGATTGATAACAGTCGAAGTTGGTGATCGGTCGCCAAAAATAGTGGCTAAAGGTGATTTTCGGCCAGTAATAACTAAAACTAGTTGACATCAATGAAGTGTAATAGGTGGAAATAACTGTTAAGGGAGGTCACCGATGACAATAGTTGCAGATGTAGTTAGTTAGTGGTGATAATAAGAGGGGGGCAGAATGAAACGACAAGGGAAAAAAAAAATTAGATTGTGTTTGGTAGAATTTTGTAACTATAATAGTATGAGTTGTATTTTGAGTTTGTGAGTTTTGAAATTATAATTTGAGTTTGAAAAATTTGTTTGGTGAAATTGTTTTGAAAATAGTTTTAAAATGAGTAGGGAATTTTTAATGTGATATTTGATATTTGATATAAAAATTTACAACTCATAACCAAACATACAACTCAAAATTATATTAAAGCACATAAAAAATTTTAAAAAATTCAAAAAATAATTTTTTTGAATATATAAAAATTAACATATCAAAAAAAAAAAATTTGTACTGTTCCAGTCAAGCGGCCGAACAACGGGTGGGACTACCAGTTAAGCCAAATTTTGAAAAAAAAAATTTCAAAAATCGCCCTCTTAAATAGAGTTTTCTACAGAGTTGTGAAAAATTAATTCCATAACTCTATCCAAACATCATATTCAAAATACCAAGCGGAAAACTCGTTTAAAAATGGTTCCAAACAAAGCCTTAGGGTTGTTTTGAAAACATCATAAATTAGTCAAAAAATTATTCTCTATATTTTTTAGAATTGGGTTCCTGCTATGGGGCTTGTCAATTTATTTCGATAATTTGTACCGTTTATATTTTAAAATTTATTGAGTAAATCATGCATATAAAAAATAAAGTAAATTAAACACATGCAATCTCATAATAAAAGCATATTTATTTTAAAAAATTATTAATATAATTTTAATAATTTTTAAAAAATAATTAGGAGCTAGTCATGAGAGTATTGATGTCCGACTAACTTAATTTTTTAAATAAATGATATATTTAACAAACCTTAAAATATAAGCCGTTTAAATTATTAAAATATGATTGAAAAACCTCGAAAGGTACTCGTAGCAACAACCCTTGATCCATAATTTTCTATACGTCTTTTGTGTAAAAAATAAAAAATTGACTAAAATAATTAATTTTCAAAGCAACTCTTAAAATATATAAAGATGTGAAAAAATAAAGAAATTAATATAATAATTTATAATAATTTTTTTAACTTTTAGATTAGAAAAAACTATTATCCCAAACAAGGCCTAATTGTAACAATTCGGACCTCTGATTAATATTAATCCGTATTCAATTATGCCTAACAGCAACTTAGGAGAGTTTTGGAATTAATTTACATGTGTGTTGCATTATTTTTGTGTCTTTATCTGTTCGGTGTGGAAAGATCTGTTCACGTTTTAGTTTCGAGTTGCAAATTGAAAGTCTTATCGGCGTCCGAATCAGAAATTGACTTGATTTATGTGCTAGTTAGGATTTATAGGATTTTATGGTAGGTTTAATTAAAATTCGGTTCGGAACGATTAAATTTGATTAAAATAATGTCATTTGTTTATTTTTGAACAAATTACTACTTATTAGGCTAATTGAGCCTCACTCACCTCTTTTATTCATTTTGATCATATTTGAGCTCATTCTAAGGGAGAGAACCGAGAGAGAGAGAGGGAGAGTTAGGAGAATTGATTCAACAAGAGAGTTTGCTTAGAAATTAGAGGAGTTTGAAGAAGACTTGGGAGATTGGGCCTCTACACTTAGAATTCAAGGCTTGAGGTAGGAAATTTACCCTTTTGTTTATGAATTTAAGTTATTCATGCATGAATTCAAGTTAATTAAGCTATAAGATATGAGAATCAAGCTTAAAGGCTAGAGAGGAAGGTCAATGCATGCATGTTTCATAGCATTTTGAATGATGATTTTCAAGAAATCCTTCATGCATGTGTTGAGTCTATTCTGATTTTGGAAACACAATGAGTTTCATGTGATTTGGTAGCATTTGATCATGTTTTGAAGAGCCTTAGCTCAAAAATGTACTTGTATGTGATGTTCATTAATTGATTTTGAATTTAAGTTGAGTTTGTGCAAAATTGATATCCTTTTGGGCCATGATTTCTTGAAATGATCTTTTAAACATGTTGTTTTATGAGTTGTTAAGTGTTTTCCAAAGTTTTTGGCCCAGAAAATTGAGTTTGATGCTTCAAAAGTCGAATTTGAGCTTGGTGATCAAATTTTGAATTTCCAAAAATTTGATCCACGCTCGAGCGTGGAACTTTACGCTAGAGCGTGCACCTTGAGTACGTGCACTCCGCTCGAGCGTGGAAGTATACGCTCGAGCGTGAAATGCATATACTCAGAAGTTCTTGTATTTTACAGTCCGTTACAGCAAGGGAATCCACGCTCGAGCGAGGTTCTGAGTCTCACGCTCGAGCGTAGGTCGAACGCCCGTCGAGCATGAAAATCATGCATCCAATACTTTTGTCGAGGTTTACAGTACGCTTGAGTAGGGAAGTCCATGCTCGAGCGGGGCTTCATTGTCTGCATGTCCGCTTGAGCGAGGGAAGCCACGCTCGAGCGTGGACCTTATTTTTAGCAAATCTTGTGAAATGTTTTTCCAACGCATTCTTGCATCCTCATTCCATCCTAGGCATTTCTAAGCCATATTTAAGACTCCATAATGAGAATTAAAAGTTAGAAACACACTAAGAACAAACGACATAAGTTATGTACAATTCGAACGTGTGTTTTAAGTGTGTGTTCGTATGTGTGTTCATGTAGGTCACGCGCCTCAGAACAAGTGAAGGGCCGCCTTACCATCTAGTTAGGGCTACCAATCATCTGTGAGTAATAACTTTGTAAAGTTATGTTTAATGTTAAGTATTTTCTGAATACTATGATACGAAGTAATTAGTTATTGAAAATGCTATGCTATGTTTGAAATGAATGAATGGTTGTCCAAAATTCTGAAAGTTATTCGTGGCATCCTTAGCATCATATGATATGTGTCCCTTTATGGGTCATCAGGTCCTTTTATGGGTCATCAGAAACGTCTATGTGCACATGAGTCATCAGAATGCCTTCAAGGTCGTCCCTTTATGGGCCATCGAATTTGTTAACGCTAAGGGATGCACCACGTATGATTATATGCGAAATCTGAATATGGAAATGATTATGAATATGTATATGAATCTGTTCCGATAAGAATTTGATTTCTAACTCTGTGACGGACATCATTCATTAAATCCTTTACTCTGTTATTATTTATTGGGCTTTAGCTCACAGTTTATATTATGTATGTAGGTGAGCCGGTATGTGACCAAGGCCAGAATTGACGCCCTTCTGTTCTGTTTTGTCAGCCAACTGTTGTGCCTCCCGAGGAGGTTCCGAACGAAGCCTAAGCCATGGCTGTTTTTATATTCATGCTGGTCTTTGTGTATGCTCTGTAAAGTCAGGTCTTGGGAAGTATATTATGTAAATACCTTGTAAATATTGTGTATCTGGACTGGCATGTTTATGTATATATAAATAAGTTTTGAAATGTTTTGTCCTATGTACGTTATCACAGTTCATTGGACCTTGTCTATTTTATATTATTGCTTCCGCAGCCCCTTATTATTTGCTAATCTGTTCAAAAGCCTTTGGTAATCCACGGATTACTGGCCGGTTACAGTGCTAAACCTACAGGGGCTGGTTTGGGTCGTGACACTAATAGATCCCACTCTAGTACCCAAAACTCCTTTGGGCTTAGAGCATTTTCAAAGGGATATTTAAACAAGGTTTGTTAGGCATTTTAGTCAATGTAAGTCTAATTTTGAGTTCTAATGGGCTAGCTATTGGGTTAGCTACTTGAGAGGGTGATTTATGATCCGGTGTTGGGCCGGGGTATCGACCGAGCAAGTTGAGGGCCCAGCAGTGCATTGGGCCGAGATGATCAACTGTTCACCCGGAGATGGGCTACCAGAACTTGGGTCGGGCAGGGTTTGGACTGTGTGTGCCGCCCCGGACCGTGCAGAAGTTGCTCGGTCGGGAAGTGACCGGTCAGACCAGGATGCTTGGTCCGAGGATGGTCGAAACCAGACAGACCGAGAGACCGGCGCTCGGAAAGGCGCGGTCAGCCGAGGTAGTTGATTGACCGGCGAGAAGGCCGACCAAAGGAGGAGCCCGGGCTAGGCTTTGCCGAGATGCCGCCTAGCCCAGCCCTTCATGTGTTTGTCCGGCTGGGCGCATGGGTTTGAAGCATGACATGGCCGAGGTAGAACAGATCGGCTGCCGAGCTCCAGCTGTGAAGTCTAGCAGTTGAGGTTAGGTGGTGAATGGCATGGTTTATGCTGACAGATGGGATAGCAGAGCCACGTGTCAGGAGATGACTGGGAGTGGATATTGGGTTCAGAAGGTATAAAAGCATGCCTGCGCCCCCCATACGCGACACACGAACATATCTGTAAGAAATCCTTACACTAAAACACTCTCTCCCTTCTCTCTATTCCCTCCAAGGTGTGTGCTAATTTGACCGTCGGAGGGTGTTTCCGGCCACACACCGCCGGGTAGCTCACCGTTATTTGCTCACAGGTGATCGGATATCGACGGAGCTCGGAAGAAAGGAATACGGGCACGCCGGAATATTTGCTCCCCGTACAATCTAGATACCTCAACCAGCTCCTTCTAAGTTTGTTTCACTGAATCCTCCAATTTAGCATACCAGGTGGTAGCTATACCCAACAAAGTTCGCCCGAACAGAGATGACTTTTGGGCTCGAGCTAAGCCCATCGACTTTAAAACATTTAAAAATAATTGGATATGCATCATAGGGTCCCTTGATCCATCAAACCAGTCTATACGTGGCATCTTGAATCTTTCTGATAATCTATCAACAATTTCAGTATATCCATCCTCGATATCAGGGATAGAGTTGATACCTTGTGGCTTTTCGAACAACTTCTCTCACTTGGCTATCTTTAGCATAGCTGGATCAAACTCAGTAAGATCATGGGAAAAGAGCCCCTTGATAAGATGTGCTTGAGCTTCAAAAGTTGGAGCCCAGGCCGGCTCTTGTAGTTGGCCAAGACCCTAGAAATTCTCAACTGGTGAAGGTGAGCCTAGAACCAGATGATTAATTAGCAGCGGATGTGTAGCAGCAATCCCGACTGTTTGTTGCATCCCAGCAATGGCATTACCCTAGACAACTATTGTGTGGTTAAGAGTATCCATAGTCTGTTGGAGAGCTGTGAGCATGTCTACTAGATCCACTAGATTTTGGTCCATTATAGGATTTTTACCAAACAAGTTTTTATTTGAGTTTTTAAAATTTTTGTAAATATAAACTGAAAACTGAAAACGAAAGTGTTACCAAACGGCACCTAAGTAATGAAAAGTAATGAGTGTGATTAGAGTTGCGCTCATATCCTCGTCTCGTATAAATATAAATAGTGATTGTGGTTGGAGTTGCTCTTAGATTTCCTCGTCTCGTATAAATAAGTTAGGGGTCATTCTATTTACGCACCATTTTTCTTCTCAAGGCAAATCATTAATTAATTTATTTTTATTACAATTTTAACCTTAAGTGAAATGACTATAAAGGACAAGTTATGATACACCTCATTTGTGTATTTACCATAAAGGACAAGAATTAATATAATATAAATCATCAATTTCAAACTTGTTCCTTACGTATCTTCTCTGTCAAGAATCCAAAAACCCTAAAACCAAAATCAAAAACCCTTTAACAAATAATCAAAAATATAGTATTATTGAAGATTTTGATATGATTCAATGAAGGATGCATCTGACAATTCTCATTCGAAACAATGGAGCAATGAAAAGGTTATTTTTTTTTGTTTCTGTCTTCGTTTTCGTTTATGAGTGGTAAATCGTTGTTCAGTTAACCAGAGGTGAATGATATATCATTGTTCGACAAAATACAATCGAACAAATTACGTCTGTTCAACAGACTACAATTGAACAACTTATATCTGTTCAACAGACTACAATCGAACAAATTACATTTGTTCAACATACTACAATCGAACAACTTATATCTGTCCAACAGACTACAATCGAACAAGTGCAATTTGTTCAAATTACTACGGTCGAACTTTTTCATTTAATTCAACTCTGTACTGCCGAACAGTTATAATTTTTTTTTTTTTTTCAGAACAGTGTTGAGCAACACCACCGACGATGTCTTGATGAGTGCTTTCAGCAATGGTGTTCACCGGTGTGAATAGAGAATGGAGGGGGAGATGAATATCGTGGGTGTGGGGTGTGTGGCTGTGTGGGGGCAAATATGGAATTTTGTGTGTATATTGTTGCGGGTGGGTGTGTGAGTAAGAGTAATTATATAAATTTGTGATGTGTTGATGCATCTGACAATTCTCATTCGGAACAATGAAGCAATGAAAATGTTTTTTTTTTTTTTGTTTTCGTCTTCGTTTTCGTTTATGAGTAGTAAATCGTTGTTCGGTTAACCAAAGGTGAATGATATATCATTGTTCGACAAACTACAATCGAACAAATTATATATGTTCAACAGACTACAATCAAACAACTTATATCTGTTCAACAGACTACAATCGAACAAATTACATTTGTTCAACATACTACAATCGAACAACTTACATCTGTCCAACAGACTACAATCGAACAAGTGTAATTTGTTCAAATTACTACGGTCGAACTTTTTCATTTAATTCAACTCTGTACTGCCGAACAGTTATAATTATTTTTTTTTTTTTCAGAACAGTGTTGAGCAACACCACCGACGATGTCTTGATGAGTGCTTTCAGCAGTGGTGTTCACAGGTGTGAATAGAGAATGGAGGGGGAGATGAATATCGTGGGTGTGGGGTGTGTGGCTGTGTGGGGGCAAATATGGAACTTTGTGTGTATATTGTTGTGGGTGGGTGTGTGAGTAAGGGTAATTATATAAATTTGTGATGTGTGATGAAAAAAATATTTATTTTTATAAATTATTTTTGATGTGCGTTTAGAAATGGTTTGTTTTGATAGAGAAAGCGGTGTCCAAATAGAGCCTCCCATAAGTTAGGCGGTAGTAGTAGGAGTAGCCAAACCACCCTGGTCTCAGCCAACAGTGTTGTGTTTGTTGTCCTTCGGGTCCAAATCTCTCTCTCTCTCTCTCTCTCTCTCTGTGTCCCACTACAAACACACCTGTCTTCCTCACCTCCATATACATTGATATAGTGACGCAAAGCTAGGTTTTAAGCCACACCAACGATGGTAGCTGACCGTGGCAAGAAATCGAAGGTCTCCGACAGAACCGAGGTCGAAGATTCCGATCACATTGACACTGAACTCGTTCTCTCCATCGAAAAGTTGCAAGAGGTCCAAGACCAGCTCGAGAAGGTTCGCTTCAATTCCCGACTTGTCTGCTTGGTTCTTTTTCATCTGATGTAGAATAAAGATTTGTTTTGAATGTTATTACTCTCATTGGATTGGAGGTTTTCTCATGTTTATGCATTGTACTAGCATTGCGTGAATTTGTGGTCTTTTTTTTTTAGTAGCCCCCTTTTTTTGTTAGGCATTGATTCTGCATTTCATGGTATGTTTTGCAGTGCAACTAGGATGGTTTGCGTTTATTGTAACCCTCGGACTATTTTTAATAAATTCAAGGACTCCTCTTGATTTTATAGTCTTTTAGTTTCCCTTCTAATTTAATTGACTAACTATTTCTTTGTTCTTTTGTTTTTTTGGGATGCATGTTAACCATTGTGTGAATCTCCTTCTTCTTTTTTTTTGGCTTTTATGTTCATATTGTGTGTAAAACTATTAGTTGCAATCCATGAGTTGCCAATGTCAACATGAATGGTAATGCATAGGCTCAGGTTGTTGTGTGTGTGAAAGCGGTCAAGCCTATTGCCTAGGTGGTTTCACGGTATGCTCTTTGATTCTTATGTTAAGAGTGGGATCACCATTTCGAGTGAATGACAAGTTAACAACTACTCAAGACATTGGGGTGTTTAGGGTTTCAATAAAGACGTGGTCTTGTGAGCTAATGGGTTGGGGTTCAAATATTGTTGCATAATTAACTCAACTCAAGTGTTTGAATGGATAAAGGGCCTGTAATTATAATTTAATTGTCTACTATCTTTAGATTCTCTTCCGCCACTTGTGGGTTGTGATGTGAAGAAAAGTGTTATTTTGTTTTTACTCTTGGCCCATTGTTTTTTCGTTTACCTATGGTTGTCAACTTGTCATATCAACCCAATCCTTAGTGTCGGCAAGACACAAGATATGGGATCCAGTCACAACATGTTTTTTGTGTCCTTATGTATGGACAATGGAAAGAAGCTAACATGTATGCAAATCTTGCTCACTGTAGTGGAAAATTTTCAACTAGTTACGTCAAGTGCATGCTTAATACTTGGAGTGAACTTTACTAAATGTAAACCATTTTCAAATAAAATGAACCCACATCAGGCGTAGTTCAATTCGTTATATGATACATGGTAAACAAAAGTGCCCACATTAATGGCCTTTTCCTTTTTTGTGCATCTCTATATCTAATCTTCATTTTGCATAATTTTGTTACACCCACTTCAACTACACTATTGTAATCAAGTAGCAAGAGGATTATGATTATCAATAATATCGAATATGAATGATTTACCTATTGGCCAGCCATAACCATATTTATCCATTATTGAGTGCCATTATTTGGTAATGAAGCCAATGTAGCAAGTGCACACATCAACTCCCAATTTAATCCACACCTATGGCAACATTTAGTTGGAAAAGAAAAATTAGTTGGTTGAATTTGCACCAATTTTGTTTTTGAACCTATAAATGAAAAATGAAAATTTTGAATTGTTTCATAGTAATATTTTAACTTTTAACTCTTTGACTACAACAATTGTTATCCTTCTCTGTATTCCTATTAAATAAATCTAGGGGAAGAAACTAAGGTTTCGAAGGTGGTGGTGGTGGTGGTGGTGGTGGACCATGGAAAGCAAGGAAGTCAGTCATAAATTTTACTTATTTTTTGGAAAAAAGAAAATTATTTATATAAGCATTATGAAAAAATAGTAAGAAAAATCAATAAATCTATGTCAGTTATTTCTTAATAGTTATCTTAATTATTTCAGGCTGCCGTAGCGGTCGTAACAGTGCCGTAACAGCCGTAACGGCCTGTTACGCACCGTTACGTAACGGTTCCAAACTGTTTCTTCCGAAAAAATACAAAAAAAAAGTTGAAAATGGGGGAAGAGGGATAGAGAGAAGAGAGAAGATAAAGAGAGAAAATGGAGGAGTAAGAGATAGAGAGAGAAGAGGGAAGCTGAAGAACATGTTATTGATTTGTTGAAACTGTAAGACCTATGCTATTCTATTCAGCTGCTATCACTAAACCATTTTGTTTGTGTGGGTCTATCTATATATTGTTTGAAAATAATAACAATAATAAGTGTGGTCATTATCTATTTGACTTGGTTAAAATATATATATATATATATATTTAGGCTCTTATTTATTCTTTTACTTTTGTCATTATTTATCTTATATATAAGTTGGTGATTGATTTTTTGTATAATATAAAGTCATTAATTATTAAAATAAAATGTAAAAAACTCAGTTTATAGTGATTTAAAAATATGAAATATATTACATCATACTTAAAAATTTACAAAAATTGATCAATATTTATTTTTAACCCAATAAATATGATCATGGGAAAAAAATATGCGTATCGGTAAATTTTTTTCAAATTGTGCAAAAAATAAAAAAATTCACGGTTCCGGTTACCGCAACCGTTACACTACGGTCTTTACACCCCGCAACCGCAACCGCGTCACCGCCACCGTTACGGCGACCGCAACCGCTTTTCAGAACCTTGTGGACCATGGAAAGCAAGGAAGTCAGTCATAAATTTTACTTATTTTTTGGAAAAAAGATAATTATTTATATAAGCATTATGAAAAAATAGTAAGAAAAATCAATAAATCTATGTCAGTTATTTCTTAATAGTTATCTTAATTATTTCATACAATTTTTGTGCTATATAATTAGGCTCCCAAGTGTATAATTTATTAGACTGTCATTTTGAGGAATTTTATTGGTAAATATAATTTATATAAATAAAAAATCTATATCTATGATTTTTATAATAAAAAAATGAATGTCATTTACATGTCAAATCAATAGAATTGATGCTATTACGTAACTAGTGAAATAATTTGGGCTCATGCAGTATACATTGTAAGAATACTCGGGGTCAATAAAAGAATTTTTAAAAACCTAGAAGGCCATTTTTCATACAGGATAAAAACACAAACATGCCTTTCTTTTCTTCCTATCCTTATTTATGGCTCATAAATTAAAGGAGTAATAGAACAAATTTGAAAAACTTGTGCTTCAATAGCTATGCTTCGTCCATGTTGGAAAGAAATTGAAGTTATGCTTCAAAAGCTATCAGGATGAAATTGATTGCATCTTCCTTGAATTCATTGTCTGACTCGATGAGTTGTAGGACTTCAACGAAAAGTTCAAGATGGTATGCCATTAACCATCTTATATACACATCTCTGGACATGGATATATCAGACTAGTCTAATAGAACATGAAGAGCTATTCTTGTTGATGTTAATTACTATCAGTGGTTGGACAGTCTTCTTTTGGATGCATAATCTGTTATCATTTATGATTTTTCTATCGACCATTACCTCTATCAAATGAAACTCAATTATTGCATCGGTATCCAACAGGTTAATGAAGAAGCCAGCGAGAAAGTTTTGGCGGTTGAGCAGAAGTATAATGAGATTCGCAGGCCCGTCTATGTTAAACGAAATGAGATCATCAAATCTATTCCTGACTTTTGGTTGACTGCTGTAAGTAACCAACGGCCTTTCTATTCATGCTTACTAAGTGTATTTATTAAGTTCACCGATTTTTACTTTTTCCACAGTTTTAATTACTTCTGCATTATTGTTCTGTGCAGTTCTTGAGTCATCCTGCACTTGGTGATCTTTTGAGCGAGGAAGACTCAAAGGTTTGGCACGTGATACGGAAAAAGATCAATTTGAACATTTATTTTGATATAATGAATCATTTAAGCCTACAACATTTCCTTTATTTATTTATTCAACATTAATTTACTATATTTTTATTTTGTTATTTGAATTATTGGGATATGATATTGTCCTCGTTTGGCAAAACTTGAAAGTTAGCTTTTAAGATGATGGCTTTTTTGTTATTGGCTCAAAATGCTTTAAATAAGTTGTAAAAGTGTTTGGTGCAACCTTTTGGATAATATGGGAAAAAACTGACAGTGTTTTGCAAATAATCCAAAAAGTAGTTTTTTGAAGTATAATGTCCAAACAAAAATGCTTTAGAGCTCTAATATAGGAGCTCTAATAGCTCTAATGGGAAGGTGGGTCCCACCTTGATGTGATGTTTGTGCCTTGTTTTGTTTGTTTGTTTTTTTTTTTTTTTTTTTTTTGCTTTGACACATCATTAGAGCTCAAATTAGAGCTCTATATTTAGAGCTCACTTATTTTTTATTTATTTTTTATTTTTTTTAAAAAAGAGGTACACCCAATTATAAAAATATTAAGAGGCCTTTTTGTCTAGTGTCCAAAAGGTAAAAAAGTTAAGCTGGAAAAGTACCCCTGGGCGGTTAAGAAAATCATAGTTTTTTTTTTGTGTGTGTGTGTGTGTTGCTAAAAACATGTTGATTAAGCTATATTACGTTGAATGCAATAAGCTATGCCAAATACTTTACACCATCTTTTTTCAAAGCTATAATCTAAATAATCAAATTTAAAAGCTTTGCCAAACGGCCTTATCAATACATGAGGATGATATCCTCAACTTCTCCCGGACATTATTGGATTGGAATGAACATTTCAATAATCTCACATTTTCTCACTTGACTTAGATTTTCAAGTATCTAGATTCTCTTGATGTGGAGGATTTTAAAGACCTGAAGTTAGGATACTCCATCACATTTGTAAGTTTTTCTTTCTCTCATCCTGTTTAGTTGGGTTAGGCTTTCATAAAAGAGTTGTTCATTATTCCATTTCTGTAGGTACTTCCAATAGATAATTCGCCTACACACTTACAATCGATCTTTTGTTGAGTTCTCATTAACTCTTTTGCATGTTTCAAACTTCTAGAACTTCAAACCTAATCCTTATTTTGAAGATTCAAAGCTGATGAAAACCTTTACATTCTTGGACGAGGGAACAACGAAGATAACTGGCTCAAACATCAAGTGGAAGGAAGGCATGGTAAGCATCCTCCATATCTTCTTTTATATTTAATTGTTTTCATATATTATTAAGAATGAGCTTCAACATGTGAAGGGTGCTGCTAATGGAGTTAATCATGAGAAGAAAGGAAACAAAAGGCCGCCTTCTGACGAGAGGTATCTTTTCTCACTTATTTTTGTCTTCTTTGCTAAAGCTAATTTTGTAGCAGTAGCTAAAAAATGTTATGCTAGATGCCTCAAATTTAGGCAAGTAAGGCAAGACCTCCTTTCTTGAAGGAATGATCAGTTGTCTACATTGCTACAAGCATTATCACAGATTGTGGGTATGATATACAAATTTGAGGTATAGACAGTCATAACAGTACATTGCGAGAGAGTTTTGGTATTGCTTTCTCAATTTTTATTTTTTGTGTTTTTGGAAACAAACACAATAAAAGGTTGTTGAACTTTATTTTAGGTGCAAGTCTTAGTAGTTCCAAAACTTGCAAGAGACCCACATATATTTGATATTTCAGTTGACCGTTACTTTGCATTTCTGTTTCACCCCAAGTTAATTTAAGTCTGGTCATTACTTAGCCTTGCACCATTGTTAGAGGTTTGCTTTTTAGATTTCCGTCTTTGACCATTGTTTGAGTATTTATTTATTTATTTATTTTCTAGATTTCCATTTATTGACTAAAAATTAGATTTTACTCCATGTTTCTTTTGATGATTCAATTAGTTTTTCCCATGTGAAGATGTATCCAAAATTGCCCCTAGACATTGAATAAAAGATTTGGGGTTTAAGCATGGTTTGTTTGTTCAATTATTACCATTAAGGTGCATTAGGCAAGGTTTAGATATTTTTAGCACTAAATTTACTTTTTTTGTTGCTTGTTGGCTGTCTGGCCCTAGGGTTGACCAGTAAACTGGCACTTTCATAGTTAAGATAATTGAATTTTTTGTATGTGATATGTGTTGCTTCCCCCATATTGTCATAAAAACATTTGCATCCTCATTCTTTTTTCATTTGTTATTTGTTAAATGTTACAGATTTTGTTAACTCAAGATTCAAGAGACGAATGTTTGAAGCTACATAGTTTTATCGTGTTGCATTTATGTTGATTTGTTTATATCCAATTTTTCCTATTCAGAACATTGTTATCTTTCTTGAGAAGGGAGATCTGGTTGTTATGTTTTGCCCATTTAATGGGCGTCCTTTTGCTTGAAATTTGTTGCTAATAAATAAGTGATGAGAAATTATCTTAAACTTAAAACAAATATTTTATCTTCCATGATCTAGTTCCCTTTTGTCGTCTTGAGGCCACATACTTCCTAAATTTGGTTGATGTGTATAGCATAAATGCTGTAAATTCTTTTTCGCCGCAATACAATACCTCATCATCTATGACTACAAAATTAAAAAAACAAAACAAAACAAAAAAAGATGCAACCAAAATGTGCTTCTGTGGATGTATTGTCATTTAAATCATATGTAAGCATTATCGGTACCTTGGTGTTAGTTTTGTAAAGTTTGGTACAAAGTACGAAAAGTTAGAAGGGTCCATAGAGCTACTATCATAGGAAATAAAGTTGTCTTTCCTTCTTTTGCTTGGTTTGAGCATGAAGGAAAGGAAGAATCAAGGAACAATGTTGCTTGATTTTACATAATATTCTCTCCATTAAACGTGTTGTTTGAAAAGCAAAAAATGTAAGAGAAAAGGTTTCTGCCTTTTCCATCTTACTTTCTGGTCACTTTTTTTAGGTGGAGGGGATTTTGAGAATGTGGAGGGGAAGTGTCCCCCCTCCCTCTTTCCATCCCTCTCTTCTTCCTTTCCTTCCCGCATTCCTTTGTACCACCTACCAAGTGATGGGAACTCTGTCAATGCCTCCCCCTTTCTTTCCTTCCGTTTCCTTCCTCCAATTCTTCCTCTACCTGAATAAACCATAAATCTCACTGTTGCCTCCACAGGCTGGAAGATTGTGAAATCTTTTTTGTATAACCTCAGTTGTGCAAGTAGTTTGTGAGGTATGATAGGGTTGTCAAAAATCTTTACTGTGCACAATTCGATATACATATTTATGCCTTCCTACTTGTGATCTCTAGCTCTTCTTAATATGGTTGGACTTTTACAATGATTTCATTGTTAGTAAATAGACAATTTCATTTTTATGTTTTGGGCTGTAGTATTATGCTTACCTACTCATTCAATGTCCTCGTATCAATGCAGCTTCTTTAGGTGGTTTAGTGAGACTCAACCAAAAGATATTGTTGAGGGGCTTCATGATGAGGTAAATTTTTTTTATTCAACATGCTGCTATTATATACATATATTTCAATTTTATTGATTAGTAGTCTGAAGGTGCATGGCTTTATGGCAATTACTGATGAGTTGATGTCATGTTTAATAATTTTTTCCTGTGTTATTTCATCCTTCTGTGACATCCAGTCTTGATTGATACTTTTGGATTAAATTGGAGAAAATACTTAAAATCTTGCTTTTGTCTTCTTTCTTTTCATTTAACTTTTTACCTTTTGCTTTGAAATTGCAGGTGGCGGAGATAATTAAGGAGGACTTGTGGCCCAATCCTCTCAAATATTTCAACAATGTAATCTTTTTTCTCCTTGTGTTTTACTTTTGTCTCAAATTAATTTTTCCTTTCTGCCTTTCCTTTGGGCTTATTGGAACTTTGCAACTTTACTGCTGTAGGAAGCTGATGAGGATGATTCTGATGGAGCCGAGGAGGATGAGGTAAGTTCAATGAAACCATATTACGATCCATAACATTATTAACTATTTGTATGCAACTCTTTCTTTCCGTCTCTCTTGAGATCTTATTCAGCACATAGGTATGACTATCCCTTATCCACTGCAACCATCACTAACTTCATTGTTGTGTAATAATTACGAATTTTGCCAACACTACAACACGAAACAATAATGGTCACTGCCTCCCAAATTTCTTAGCTTTTTTTTTGCACGCATGATATCTTGATATCATATATATCATTTATAAATCAATTAATGGATGGTTTGTGTGTATATATTGTTAGCCAATTGCATCTGATCAAGTGACATTTCCTGGTGAGGCCAATCAAAAAATTTGTCATATATTTGAGCTCATTTCTATTCCAAATTTGTGACTCCTAGGAAAAAGGCGATGATGATGAGGAAGATGATGACGACGAAGGTAGTGATGAGGAATAGGAGGACAGCTGAACTATCATGTCTGGCTTTCCATTTGCTTTCAAAGTTTTGTTCATGGCAGTGTCAAGGAAACTCTTTGAATTATAGTTTTTCAGTTATTTCAGATCCCTTTTTATATACAAAAAACACTTTAGCTTAGCTTGTAGTTAACTGACTGCCGCGAGAGCTGCTTTCTTCTCTGCTTTGCATGCTGGGCTTCCCGGCGGATTGATATCTATCCGGTGTTATGTTTTGGTTGGTGAAGCAAATGAAGTATTGTGAGGGGAAAACCATTTCGTCGTGGGGCTATAATTATTGTTCAGGTGATGTATAGGGGGTGTTTGGCAAGTTGAATTTTACCTTCTTTTTTTTTTTTTTGGACTAAAATTCATAAAAAGGTAAAATAAGCTAAAGTAGTTAATAAGATAAAATATCACATCAAATCTATAATTATTTATTTTTTTTACAAATATTACATCCAATTACAAAAAATAAAAAAAATAATTATCTTTTCAAACACAAAAATTTTAACCTACTAAAATAATTAAAAATTAAAATAGTCTAATAAAATAACAACTTTCCAAACACTTAGTCATTCCTTTTTGCCTCTTTTTTAGAAACCATATTACGATCCATAACATTATTAACTATTTGTATGCAACTCTTTCTTTCCGTCTCCCTTGAGATCTTATTCAGCAGATAGGTATGACTATCCCTTATCCACTGCAACCATCACTAACTTCATTGTTGTGTAACAATTACGAATTTTGCCAACACTACAACACGAAACAATAATGGTCACTGCCTCCCAAATTTCTTACCTTTTTTTTTGCACGCCATGATATCTTGATATCATATATATCATTTATAAATCAATTAATGGATGGTTTGTGTGTATATATTGTTAGCCAATTGCATCTGATCAAGTGACATTTCCTGGTGAGGCCAATCAAAAAATTTGTCATATATTTGAGCTCATTTCTATTCCAAATTTGTGACTCCTAGGAAAAAGGCGATGATGATGAGGAAGATGATGACGACGAAGGTAGTGATGAGGAATAGGAGGACAGCTGAACTATCATGTCTGGCTTTCCATTTGCTTTCAAAGTTTTGTTCATGGCAGTGTCAAGGAAACTCTTTGAATTATAGTTTTTCAGTTATTTCAGATCCCTTTTTATATACAAAAAACACTTTAGCTTAGCTTGTAGTTAACTGACTGCCGCGAGAGCTGCTTTCTTCTCTGCTTTGCATGCTGGGCTTCCCGGCGGATTGATATCTATCCGGTGTTATGTTTTGGTTGGTGAAGCAAATGAAGTATTGTGAGGGGAAAACCATTTCGTCGTGGGGCTATAATTATTGTTCAGGTGATGTATAGGGGGTGTTTGGCAAGTTGAATTTTACCTTTTTTTTTTTTTTTACTAAAATTCATAAAAAGGTAAAATAAGCTAAAGTAGTTAATAAAATAAAATATCACATCAAATCTATAATTATTTTTTTTTTCTTACAAATATTACATCCAATTACAAAAAATAAAAAAAATAATCATCTTTGCAAACACAAAAATTTTAACCTACTAAAATAGTTAAAAATTAAAACAGTCTAATAAAATAACAACTTTCCAAAAACTCAATCATTCCTTTTTGCCTCTTTTTTAGACTCCTTAAAAGGACTAGGGCAAATTACACAAATAGTTTTTATAGTTTGGGGTTTGTGTTACTTTGGTCTCTGACTTTTCAATTGTGGCATATTTGATTCTGAATTTTGAATCTTGTTTCAAATAAGGACAATCGAAGATATCATTAGATTTTTTAAGGATAAAATTGTCAATTTGATAAAATATAAACTAATTTGACAAAAATAAATGTCAAACAAATATTTTTGAATTTTTAAAATTATTTCTACTCATCAAAAATAAAATTATGTAAAATTGATAAATTTTTTAGATATTTTTTTTTTTTACCAAATTAATTTTTATTATGTGTTTGGATGATGAATCATGTAAAATTAATTTTAAAAAATTGATCATGTAATTTTTATTAATTTTACATAATTTTATCATTGGTGGATAAAAATAATTTTTAAAAAATTAAAAATATTTTTTTGACATTTATTTTTGTCAAATTAGTTTATATTTTATCAAATTGACGATTTTACCCTTAAAAAATCTAATGATATTTTCAATTGTCTTTATTTGGAACAAGATTCAAAATTCAGGATCAAATGTTTTATAATTGAAAAGTCAAGGACCAAAGTGATACAAGTCTCAAACTATAGAGACTATTAGTGTAGTTAATCCAAAGACTAAGAGTAGAGGGATTGATGGCTAGACTTTCATTAAATCTAAAAATTAGTGCATCTTATCCAAAAAAAAAAAAAAAAACTTTAAGAGTTTGACCTTTATAATAAAATAAATCTTAAAATTTTAATTTTATCAATTTAAATTTTAATATTTTGATTTAGATTGAAAAATTATTTATCTATTCCTGTTAAGTAAAATTGATTGAAAAATGATATTTTAATTATTAAATTCAATGTAAATATACATAAAATATTTAAAATATTATTTTTCTTGAAATATAATGATTAAAATATATTTTTCAAACAAATGATTTAATTTAAAAATAAATTAAAATATTATGTTTAAATTAATATAATTCAAAATTTAAAATTTATTTTATTATAAAGATTATAAATGCTAAGATTATTTTTTTTTTATAATCTCTTCAAAAATTAATGTCCTACTCCCATTTTGAAAATTATCTTTGTAATGTTAAAAAATAAATAACCCTTTGAAATGGTGCAATTAATGGCCTACTTCCCCATTTAAAAAAACCAGGCTACTTGGTCAAACAAGTAGAGGGTGGAAGAAATTATCAAGTGTTTATGTGTCTAATCAATGAAGGAAGATTATGTGTTTATGTGTTCAATCAATGAAATATTATAACTTGTCTAACATCTCTTTGTTATTAATTTATTGCTATTGGTTGAAGACACAATTAATATGAAATTCTTGAAAAATAAAATAATTACTCGTGGGAGAGAGTGTATGTACTTTGTACTATACAAACCACTTAACAGCATGCAATTCGGTTCCAACCACCCAACTCTAAATGAGAACTCTGTGCTTTCTTATGTGCCAAAAGTTTATAAATACCTGTCTACCCTTCAAAAGCCTTGCAGTGAAAAGAGAGGTCTCTTAAGTCAGAGTTGAAGAAAACTAAACCTCTTGATTAGAGGCTCTCTTTATCCCTTGTAAATACGGCTCAGTTTCCTCCAACCTCTCACCTACCACTTACTCTTGAACTCCAAATTTATATTTGCTATGCGTGTGTTCGATTCGTATGTGAGAATTGAAGGAAATCCAAGAGATTTATTGACGTTGCTAGTTCAAATCTGTTTGGTTTTCTCCAATATCTCATCTCCGACTTTGGACTATCATTTTTAAATGTATAATTGATATATATGAGTTTGAGTTATATGTGTTGAAATTGTATGTGAGAATTGGAGGAAACCAAATAGATTGATGTTGACTGTTTAAATCTATTTGGTTTTCTTCAATATCTCATCTCCGACTTTAAACTATCTTCCAAATTGCATCTCCCATGAAAGACGAATCCAATTCTTCTCCTAGTAGTACTTTGCAAGTAATGGATGAAGGTACGTACTATTTCACTGGAACTGAAACTCTAATCTTCTGTTCAACTTGGCTGCCTTAACTTAAAAGACACAAATACTGTTTAAAAAATATACCTAAATCCTAGAATTATTTACCCCTCTTGTAAGTTAACTATTTAAATTCTATAATTCAAGCCCAATGTATGATCTACCAATACTAAAAATGTTATTATGGAAAAATATCAAATAACTGAGAAATGAAAAAAAAAATAATAGCAAATTTGAGAGAGAGAGAGAGAGCAATGCAAAGAGGCACCGAAATGCATGAAGTAAAAATATTCAATCAAAACCCAACTGAGCCTGCAATGATTCAAGAACAACATTCAACATACAATTCCACCAGCCAAGACCACATTTAGCCACAATAAAATGAGACAATCACACAGTAAATTCTTCAAGCAAGGTACCGATACAACTTCCTATCCACTTTGTCCCTTTCCAAAAACTCTCTCTCAATCAACGACTCGATTCGCTTCTTTATCACAACAGGGTTTGGCAGAAATCGCGATTGCAGCTGCTTCGTGACCTCTGCCACGATATTGTTGTGATCCAGCACACGCCTCGATTTCATGATCCTCACAATCGCCGCCTCAATCTGGGGTTTCCTGTCCTCCTCCACTCTTTGCCTAGTCTCTTGCTTTTCCGGCTCAGACTCCTTTTGTGCCACAACTGTACCGATCTTTACCTTGTACAACTTGCTCGTGAACTTGTCATTGAAGAGAAATGCATCGTCCTCAGCAACTTCTTTGCTCATCGGTTCTTTTCGTAGGACGTTCTTCCCCTTAACACAGGCCAAAGATTGCAGAGACCTCTTCAGATCCGAGGCGGGTATTTCTGTTGCCTGCTCAATTTCTTTATAGCTTAGCTGATCAGCGCTATTAAATAACATAAGGATACACATCTGGTATGTGGAAACATTCAGCTCATGCTTCTGGCCCTTCCCAAATGTCGCTTTTAAATCAGCCGAGCCCATATTCGTCTGCCATGATAACCTCCGCCCAGTGTGAGTCCCAAGATAATACGTCCGAAACTTTTCGCATATCCCGAGGATTTCTGATGGAAGGTTGCACGTGGCACTCGACTGAGTTGGCCAAGAGCCCGTAGTCAGGACCTGAACAGTGAGTGTCGGGTAGTCTCCTATCTCAGCACCCATGCTAGAATAGAACCCTTGCATTGTATCCTGAGATGTCTTCATGTCAGTGAACATACCTTCCAATTTTGATGTAAACTGATACCCACATTCCGTTTTGAGCTTAACTATCAAACTTCTCTCTGCATCGTCAGAGACGGTTTTCCCAGATAGAAGCCTCTTTGCCAAATGTTGTTTGTAATACTTTTCGAACACATCCTTCTCTTGGAGGTAACGGAAAAGCATCATCACCTTGTCCAGTACAATCTCAACGTCCTCCTCACTGACCCCTTTCAGTCCCTTCCGGAGCTTATCATCCACAAACAAAGATATGAACTCCGGAGACCGAGGATTCAAATTGATAAAATATTCAAATGAAGAATTCAAAGCATTCTGGAACGTCTTGTCATTGGAAAATGCCAAACTGATAATCCTATCATGTTTATCCTTAACATCCAAGAGCCTCTGCACAAAGTCTACAGGATC